CCTTTCAAGTGAGTTCATAGTTCCCTTTCATCTTACACATAGATATGAAGTATTTTATATAAATTACGTGCTATGTGTGCATATTATCTGAGTACTTGTAGTCTATGCTAAATGAACGATTTTATACATGTTTTAAATGATTTAAACTGTATATGTATTTTATATCTACGATAATGTTGGGGTAAACATGGGTAGATATAATAGATAGAATATGAGTTGAATGATGAGTTGAGAGGTGTTATAGACCACGAGGTGAGGGTGAGAGGTGGATGATGTGAGAAGCCTTTTTCCCAAATGATGGCCCCGTCATCCAACAGAGTGTGGATGACAACCACAGACTATTCTAGACAGTTAGTGGAACACTAGCAGGCTGGCAACCTGTAGGTGTTGTGAACGATGTGTTCACCCGGTGTACTCTAAACCCTGGTGATCATGCAGACTTGATGCCTAAACCTTGGTGATCATGCAGACTTGATGCCTAAACCTTGGTGATCATGCAGACTTGATGCCTAAACCTTGGTGATCATGCCGACTTGATGCCTAAACCCTGGCGACTATGCAGACTTAGTGCCCGTTGTGTAAACCGTGGCAACGATGGACTTTGTGCTGATTCCTTAGGATGATCCTTAGGAATGAATGAACGAGGAATAGCTAATTATTAGGGTAGATCCTTAAGATTAAAGAAGATAATGGGGATGGGTAATTGGGCTGATTGTTTGATTGTTTAAACATAATAATTATATTATTGTGGGTTGAAAACCCTATGTACTCACCAGGTTTTCCAACCTGACCCACTCAGTTTATTTATATCACAGGTGTTGATATGAAGTCACATTACACTGAGGGATTTAAAGAGATGTAGATCATTAGTGTAAATAAATGTAAGTTCTGTTTATGCTTATGTTTCTGTATTAACGATGACATCCCAAACGTTTTGAAATGAATAAAATACGTTTCTTCGAAAATGTTTTAATAACGTATTTATCGTGTTTTTCTGGGAACAAATTCCGCAACATTTTTATTTAAAGAACTCTGATTTTTAAAAAGCATAAACAAATTCGGTCTTTTTTGGCCGTGAAAATGGGGATGTCACACATTTGTGGTTACTAGACTTATCCAAGTGGGAGACTGTTGTATTAGTGCCTAAGCCCGTAACGATATTTGGTAAGTACTTAACCCGTTTGTGCATGATCCTTTTGGGTTGCCTTCACCAAAGCAACTTGAATGGAGAAATAAATAGAGAAAGAGGTTATTATGATTTATTAATATGTTATAAGAATAATGTATTAAAAGAGAAATCATATTTGTTTAATTAATATTGGTCAATAATTAATTAGGAATTAATTTTGTGATCAAGTGTAATTAATTAAACTAAAGGGGCTGAATTGTAATTATGTGATAGTTGCAAAGTAGGGCAATGGTTACCCTAAATATAGGTAGGACGAATTCAAGGGATAAGGCCTCCTTGAAATCGTCCAAGGATAAGGGTTATTAAGACCTATCTTATGGTTACTTGGTAGGCAAGCAACTAGATAAGGATAAGGACCGAAACCCTAATCTCTAGCCTATATAAAGACACCTAAGGCCATAGAAATTGTCCCCACTTGATCCCTAGGATTCCTAGAGCCGATTTCTATCTCTCCTCTTCTCTCTCTATTGCCTCTCCAATTTCTTGTGGTGTTTGTGAGCCTTTAGAGGTACTACACTTGTGGTACTTGCTTTCAAGACTTAGGGTTTGAAGATTTGAGTTGTTATTACAATATAACAACAAGAGGTATGTGATCTATCTTTCTATGTGAATTTCGAAAAATACTAGGAGCATGCTAGGGTTCTTCATGTGTTCATAATGTTGTGTATCTAATAGTGAAAACATAGATCCAAATCTAGGGTTGCATGCACACATAAGATTGTTTGTTCAAAACCCATCAACAAATACACTACATTTAGTATTGTTATAAATGTTGAACTTTATATATATATATAGGGGAGGGTTCAATTGAGAAAAAAAAAGGTTGAGAATGAGGGAATCCATTCTCAGCCAATCATTTATTTTTGCCGCAAAAGCCTCCAACGTAGCGGCGGAAATGGGAAAGGAATGCACATGTGTTTTCTAACAAAACATATTTCTTTAAACTATGTTAATCATTACCTTAATATATATACAAAAACATAGTTTTGTTCGTTTTTTTATAATTTTTTGAAGCTATTTTTATCAAAAAAATGATTTTAAATATACCAAAATTCATGATTTTTTATTCTCTACAAATAGACATCTATATTGATATAGTTTTAATATAAAATAAATATATATATATATATATATATATATATATATATATATATATATATATATATATTTCCAGCTATCGTTATTCATAAGTGAATAAAAATGCATCAGGTTTTATTACAGTACATTTGTTATTCACTTATGAATAAAAATTATGATTTTTTTTACAATTTAAGTATCATTCATATATGAATATAGCATATAATAAACATAGTATGTTCATATTTTAATATTGGACGATACATTCACTTATGAATATTAACATAGTATATTCACTTGTGAATATTAGATGGTATATTCACTTATGAGTATTAAATGATATTTCATATGTGAATATTACGTAGTATTATATGGTATATCACATGTGAATATTATATAGTATATTCACTTGTGAATATTAAATGATATATTCACTTATGAATATTTGAAGGTATTTTGACAAATATATATAATTTTTATATGTTATTCACATATGAATAATATACATATTTCATATTTGTTTTGTATTTTTAATAATCATATACTGATTCAGGTGAGAAAAAACATATTCATATGTGAATATAACGTGGTAATTTAGTTTATGCATTTCATCAAACAGTTGAAGTGTATACAAGTTAACTATTTTAAAAATGTTAAAAACATCAAGTTATCAATTACAAATCATCATATACTTCCGATTTCGACTTCAGATGCGACATCCTATGTCTGATCGATTTCTCATTTTGATTTTGATTCCGAAAATCCGATTGGGAACGTGTGAGTACCGATTCTGAGTCCTTCAATGTCGACTATGACTGCGAGTCCAGAACTCCGATTCCAATTTCATGAACAACGAAGAAATTTCGGTTTAGTTGAAGAAATCTAGATGATTATTGAAGGTTGGAGGAAAATTTTTGATGATGAACGAACTGTTATCGAATTCTCTATAGTTACGTATTTGAGATTGAAGGTTATTAACATATTTACAAGTTTTCCACCGTGTCTTTTTATGCTTAGATTAAATGAGTGACTGAGAATAATTCCCCCATTCTCAATCTTTTTTATTTTCTCAATTGAACCCACCTATATATATATATATATATATATATATATATATATATATATATATATATATATATATATATATATATATATATATAATGATTTTTAGTTTTTGTTGGGATGGAGAGGAGAACAAGGTTTTTGAAATCAATGAGAACTTGGATATTCTTGAAGGATCGTGTGAACACTCTTTGAATGTGATATTTCGACCCAATGGCTAGGTTACACGAAATCCAGATTATATGGATAATCCTTCAAGGAATAATCTCATCGCAAGACACTTATATGAGGCCATGAAGAAGGGTTTATAAAGAATTCAAATTCTTTTAATTACCAAAGATAAGTATCAATCAACATTAAATACTAATTATATCCCATAAATAAGGGATGACAGTTTCAAAGATAATTATAAAGAATATATTATGAAAGTGGGTGTAGCCACCTTGACCTTGCCATTTGGTAGATCAAACTCGTTTTATACAAATGTGCACCATACACCTCCTAACTTGTAATCCTAACTTGTAATAAAATCAAGAGTTCAACTCTATTGGTAATTTGTAAACTCTATCATGCTAAAATGACCCAACAACACTAAAACCACCAATAGTTTTGGGTTGTTGCAAGTCATTACCTTTTACGACCCTCCACTCTTGTGGGCCTATGTGAACATTTACCATACACATGCTTTAGTTCGGGACTAACCAAGGCGATTGTGTACATCTTCATATGAGAGATTAACGGGTTGTATTTTTGATAATTAACGAGATGAGGGTTCAAATCACTTAAAAGTAACACTTTAACAAAACATCGTTTAGAAATAAGTATGCGTTGGATGTCATAATGAATTGTTTAAGAAAATATGCCCTTACTAATCGCTTTATTTTTGTGGACCTGACCTCGAATAGCTATTTTAAAATATGATTTGCTCCATTATACATAAAAAATAAATTTTAGCAGTAATAAAACATATTGAAAATATTTACTACAAAGTCCAGTGAAAAAATAGAATATCATATATGCTTAAGTCATTTTCAATAACATATATTTTTCAATATTTTTATTATCCAATTTTTTATCATTATAACTATAATCTTAATTTTCAAATTTCTAATACAATTTCATGTTATAATATGGTTCAAAATAATGACAATGTTTCATATGCACGTTTTAATTTAATAGAACAATTATTATTCCATAGTTAATAACAATAAATTATTTATTTTTAGAGTAAATTACTGAAATCATCCCTGTGGTTTGATCAAAATTGCATATTTGGTCCCTAACTTTTTTTTTGCACTCGGATCTTCCCTGTGGTTTGATTTTGTTGCATTTTTCGTCCCTGTGGTTTGATTTTGTTGCATTTTTATCCCTTACATAAAGTTAGGGACCAAACATGCAACTTTTACCAAACCATAGGGACGAAAAACGCAACAAAATCAAACCACATGGACGAGTGCAAAAAAAGTTAAGAGACCAAACGTGCAATTTTGACCAAACCACAGGAACGATTTCAGTAATTTACTCTTATTTTTAACAATTTATATTTTTCATATCTAAACACCTTTCATCTTAAAATGATTTTTCATTTTTAAAACACCTTTCATATTATTTCACCTTTTGTCTTAAATCAGTTTCAGTATTTTAAAACATTTTTCATCTTTAAATCATTGCTTGGTAAAGGAGTGCAATGGACTTAACTGTCTAACCAATGTTATCTCAGCATATATCATCTGACTATAACCGTTTAACTTTTATTTAAAGTTTTTACATTGTACACGCTTAAACCTGTAGCTGTATGTACAATTATAAAACCGATGTTGGCAATTTAATTTTCACAAACACAAATAAAACGTGGCAGTTTGCATATGTGATTTAATCGCTTGAATGAGATTGTCTTGGCGTTGAAATGTTGAGTGCCTCCAAAACCTTTTGAATCTCCATGCTCATGGCACTGTCTACACTCCCTGATGACAACTTCTTATGAGATTTCTGCAAATGAAGCTTCAGTGAGCTGCTGCTTAACCCCGCATTCTTCCCACATATCGGACACACCTTCATTGATGGCTTCTTCTGTTGCCATTCCATTGAAACCTTCCCATGCACCTTCCTCTCCACCTCCACAAGTACACGGGCAAATCCGTCATTTGGCTGCGCTCTCCTGTGTACCCTTCTTAGCTTGTTCCATGCCTTCGACAAAGTCAGCTTCCTTCACATCAAAATCAACACATAATTTTCAACTACCCTTGTGTTTATAATAACTGTGTGTGTAAAGACAGACTCTTTCACTTACTTCCTCATCATTAAGTATGCAAGAACAACTGTAGCACTCCTGCTTCTCCCTTCAAAGCAATGAACCAGAACCTTTCCACCTTTTTGTTCAACAGCTTCAATAAATTGATGAGCTTCTTCAAAGATCTGACTGATGTCTGCTTCTTCTTCATCACCTATCTGTTCATGTTCATCAATCATCATCACAACCCCTTTTAAAAAAAAAAAAAGGAAAGATTAATTAATCACTTACAGAAAAGTTTTGATACTCAAACAAATCTGCACGTTGAGATTCAGCCTGTCCGATTTCATTAGAACACAGACACAATATATGTGTAATCCCTAAATGCTGCAGTGTGTAAACAGATCTTGCAGCTAATGCCCCTCCAATGAATAGGCTGTTTGTGATGAGTGAAGGTTTTTCTGTGTTTCCAGCATCAGATATTAATGATATCCTCTCAAGAATATGCTCAAGCCTGAGCTGTAAGTTGCATAAACAAACAAACAAACACGAAGTTAATAAGGATTCAGATGCTTGTTGTTAATATGGAAAATAGTGATATTTTTACCTTCAATTCATAAGCATCAACAACAGAATTACTCTCACTGCCCTCGAAAAACCCTGAAGTGAAGTTATTCTCTTGGCAGAGCTTTACTGCTTCATTTTTAAGTAATTCGTTCCATTGTTCTAGTTCTTTGTTTAGTTCAGCATCAACCTGAGGAAGATCAATATTTTAAAAAGATAAGTTTAGAAACATGAGATTTGAGTTATTATTATTAATGAAGAGTAAAACAAAGTAACCTTAGCATATTTATGAAAATCGCGTAGCTTTGAGGTGATACGCATGCTGCGAAGAGGTTCAGATGCACTCCCTTTATTACTAGACTTTCCATGTGAAATTGGAGAAATGGAGTCAAAATTGTCTTTGCAACCTGAAGATAATGCCACTTTTGAAGAAGCTGTTTTCTGTGTTTCTGTATCATTACAACAACCCTCCTGTGTATCACCCTGTCCTTTACCTTGTGGTGAAACACAGTGTGATGGAGATTCAAGAATCATCAAATCCTCTTTATCAAAATCACCACCAGAAGATTTATCAATAATGTTCATGAAACTCTTTAAAAGACTATCCAACTTCTGGTGAAGTGTGAGAAGAAATATATGAAAACTCTGTAAGTTCATGAGAGCTGCACGAAACCCACTTCTGAATTCATGAACAACCGAAATCATGTCTTTGAAGGGCGAATTGTCCGGAGTTTCCATGGCTTCTTGAGGGACTCCTAGTTTCCCACTTGTTATTTCATATAAAAGATGTGATGCGTATTCAGGGCTGTTGATTAAAAGCTCAACAAGTTTCGGGTAGTTTTCTTGATCATGTGCGCGTTTTCCGGCGGGCGGCCGCCGGGGGACGCCGGAATCAATGGCTACAATGTCAAAATCACCGATTATGGGATCGATTGTGATTTGTCTTTTTAGGGGTTTTTCAGAAGAGATTGGAGATCCTATAGCATCAGAAAGATCAGAGCTTTTTGATGATGATAACTCGGATCCATCCACACTCATTCTGCTATCTACTGAGGTTGACCTTCTTTCTTTCTGTAATGCCCGAATTACCCTTGGTCTGTATCTTTTGATAGCAGAATCAAAGGCTTCTTCTAACGCATCCCTATTTGCAGTTGCCATTTTGTCTGCTAAAAGTAAATTTGCAGAATTGCCCCTCCAACGAAGGTAACGACATGGAAGTCTGTCTTCATTTCTGATAACAAGATCCAACATTAAAATTCTCCCAAGGGCAGCTGCTGTCTTTTCTGCAGCTTCTTGTGTTTTAAATGGACTTGAACTTTCCAGTAGAGGACATCCATGCACATAACTGTCAAATGTGTAAAAGGGTAAATTGTAATGTTTATTTACAAGAATTTTTAAGGGCACATTGCTAGAAATAGCAACATGTCTTTACCAATAATAGCACTATGTAACAAATAAAGTGCAATCTCCATAGTGTTATCAAAATGCTAAAAAAAATAAAGTTCATTGATACTATCGGTTAAAAAAATTATTAAGTAGGTTATATACTATGAGTCAAAAGTAAAGTCCATTGACCATATTGGTAGATAGGGTAAAGTACGTTTCTATTGTCTACAATTTTCCCAATTTGCAATTATAAAGTTATTGAAGTGTACTTCATGAGATAAAGACATCGGCTGAGTTCAAGAGCTTCTAGAAGTTCTGAGCATGTGACTTCACCAACTTCATCTCCATCAGAAACTGCTGCTTCTTTTGCTTTTTCTGCAGCTTCTTTGATCTTTAACCACTCATTACTACAGTTGTGAATGACTCTAGCCTGAAAAAGTTCAAATGTTGTAAGAAGTTTGCAGGGATAAATTTATGAAAATGATGAATCCAATATATATATATATATATATATATATATATATATATATATATATATATATATATATATATATAGAGAGAGAGAGAGAGAGAGAGAGAGTAAGAAAGTGTAATAACTTGTGGAGTTCTGACACCAAGCCATCTTGCAAATTCATAGCCAAGGCGTTCAGATTGTGTAGCCATTCTAGAAGAAGCTATTTTTATTACAGCTGCTGCTTCCTTAGGGAGAAACTCACGACTTTCATTGTTGTTGAATAGTGCAAAGAATACAACTCCACCAGAATTCACTGTCACCTATATTCAATACAAACACAAACCCTAATTTGTAAGTTTTCAAGAAAGAAGATGAAAGGGAAGAACTCCTGAATTCACATACCTCTAATGCTTTACTCATTTCATCCTCTGAATGCTCATTGCTACTGCTATGTTCAGTGTGATGAAGTGAAGAAAGCATGTCCCAAGAGAAGGAGCTTGGATCAATGTTCAACATAGCAGCCTTACCAAGTCTTTCCCACAAACTGATTTCTGCAACTTGCTCAAAAAGAGGAGAATTTTTTGATTCCAAGCTTAAATCTCCTGCACTGAACAGTAATGATCACAATTACAGATTAAGCTATCAAAGATTCCAATTATCCCAATCTGTATGATTGGTTCATTCATCCATTCCAAATGGCAAATTACCAATTCATCAAACAAATTTTATAAAATGGAAGATCACCTCAAGAGCATATTATCAAGTCTTTGAGGGCGATGAGGGCGATGAGGGAAGCCAGAGGACTTATACTTGCCACTACGCTTCCGTACTAACTCCAACCATTGAGTAAATCGAAACGCAGGGCCTGCTGCAATATCACCTAACATGTACAATACCTGCAACAACCAAGAGCATTCATCTCTATAACTAATCAACATAATATTCCCTCCATTCAAAAGCCCTTTCCATAATTCATAAAGATTGGAGATACACATGAATGAGTTGCAGCCTCGAGGGAATTGATCCATGACTCGTTTTAGAAAAACAATAATGATAGTCTCACAAAGTGGACTACAACAGTGAAATGGAGATAAAAAATAAATGAAAGAGAGTAGGGTAACGAACACGAGAGGTGACGGTTAGGGGCAGAGGGGCATCAGTGTCGTCAGATCCGAGATCATACTCCTTATACTTTTCTTCTTCTTCTTTCTGCATATTCATGCATATACATACATAAATTAGACAATAAATTAAGGGCACGGAGCAATGTAGAACCCTAGATCCGACGTAATAACGTACAGGTGTGTATTTGAATTGAAAATGAAAAGGTAATTCGGAAAAGCTTTTGAAATGATGAAGAGAAGTTGGTTACCTGAAGAGAGAGAGCGTAAAGGTCATCTTTGGTTTCATTGGCCGCCATCATTTGAATTGGATAAAGCTGTTTGCGACCTTTTTATGTTTTTTTTCCTATTGTTTCCCGCTTTTTCGGGATCTACGAAAGAGATACAGGAAGGCCGGAGACGGTTGCAATCGGTTTTTAACCGTCCAACACACGGCGGTGGAGGGTGGCAATATATACTCTCCTTCCGGGTTGATAACAAAAAACGAACCAATGTTTGGCAAATTGTCGTAAAGTCCCCCGACCATCTCTTTTGAACAGATTGGGTCCCTGAAACTGTCAACTAGCCAAACATTTGAAATTTCTCTCAAAAACTTCAAATGTTGATACCACGTACGGGCCTGATGGTGGCCAGGTGGCATGTCCATGACGACTGTGCACATTATCCCCATCTCCACGGCCATGTCATTTTGTGGTTCATGACACAAGGTGAAACAGATGGATCTCTCTCTCTCGCGCGCGCGTTAGGAGTACACCGACAACCATAGTGAGGGTGTTGTTTGCTAACCTAGAAGCTCTTCATGCTCCTTGGTTGTGGGGACTATATCGGAAAGTCTAAGACATATTTTGGATGTGAAAAACAAAAGGCTTTGTGGGGAATTATACGAAAAAAACATTAGGTTGCAAAATAAGTGACTCGTGTAACATCCTATTTTCACAGCAAAAAAGAAATCATTTTTTATTAAGGTAAAACTTCATATTATAAGATTCGTATTAAGAAAACCATTTGTTCCAAATCACATTTGTTGAAAATCAAAGTAAGATGATAACGTGGAATCTTCATTATTGCTGATGAATATGTATAGTCACGCCTTTACCTTCCCATGGTTTACCGATGATACCTGAAAAACAATAATAGTGGGTAAACACGAAGCTTGGTGAGTTGCCCCAAAATACTCCACACAAAAACATACAAGCATGCATATCGGGTCCTCAGTCATCGGACTGGAATACCCCCGACTCATAGTCTCCTTATTGGAATGCCTCGGGTTTGTTGGCATGTCGCCTCAACCCAACCGCTCCTCCTAAGCCTCCGTACCTACGGCTTACAACCGGCCTGCACCTGGTATCTTGGCCTACAACACATAGCAGGATCACCTCAACCTCGTCTGCTATCATATGTCGACATATAAACAATCAAGGATCAACTAGGCACATAATACAGACAATTATCAGTCATACAACTCATTACCGCCTACTAGACCCCTCAGCACATTGCCCCGCTACCAACTAACCTCGAATGTGTAACCATAAGTAACTAGAGGTGAGATAGCCACCCGAATAGATGATCCTACTCTAGAGCCACAACCAAACAATGAACATGCAAGAAAGCCTATATCAAGAGTTCTCAGGCTATCCTACATGACCACATACAACCCCTAGGCAGTCCACTAGACGATAACTAGCCTACTGGTACTCTAACCAACATAACCACTATTGTTGCATCCTACCACACCAGGATATATATATATATATATATATATATATATATATATATATATATATATATATATATATATAGATATAGCAGATCACTACAATATAGCAACATCCTATACACACGGATACATAAACGACTCACCAAGGAATGTGTAACCATATGTACCCAGATGTGAGATAGACACCCAAACAGATGATCTGTAACGTCCCAATAATAAGAACCAAAATTTTCACTTTTTAAATTAATAAAACCAGTATCCCAAAAACATCATCATACAAATCTAGATAAAACAAATGTATCAATCATCATATCACATTAGAGTAATTCAAGAAAATGTGGATTGAGGTGGTGTGTGTTCTGCAATTATCCCGAGCTCTTCCCTTTGGAACTGGAAGTACCTGAAACATAAAGTGAAAATCGTAAGCACAAAGCTTAGTGAGTTCCCTAAAACACCACATTTCATACATAATAAACACATAATAGGACTTGCTCGACATCGAGCCCTGATCGGTAAACATATCTGTTAGTCATTGGGCCCCACCTAGTATACATATAAAACATATAAACATATAAACTCATAACACATGCAATAATCACAAAAGATACATAGCATACATAATGGTCATCGGCCCCCGCCCGGTAAGCATACGAGTAAATAACACATGCAAGATTCACGCAAACATCTAGCATCCTAACATACTATAATTATGGGCTAGCATTGGTGCCTTTGACCTGCTAAACATTGTGAACAAACTCACCTTGAATTGCTGAATCACACTAATAAATATATGGCTACTGATCCGACAAATCCCCGAGCTATCGATACCAAATAACATCCAATTAATAACTGGATTCCAATCCATAACCATCAGTCAGGTAAAAATACCATTACCCCTTACATGGTTTGGTCCAATACTAAGTCCCAAATCTACAATCCAAAAGCCCCAATTATGGCCCAATTTTCCAAATTGTGCCAAAATCCTTTTTAGGCCTTCACCAAGTGCATCTAGAATAAGCATCAGCCCAAAACCCGATGACCCAACAAGGCCCTAATCATCTAAGCCCAAAATATGGCCCACACCGAAGACCAAATATTCCAAGGCCCAACGTACTGAGTACGTGGGGCGTACTCAGCTCGTACGCACAGTGTACTCACCTTAGGGCTTGTACGCTAAGCGTACCTGCTTTTACGCCCAACATACTCCCTCATTCAGCCAACTTTCATTTCCAGCTCTTAACTGATTAAGACATCACCCTAAAACTTAGATCTGACTTCCTTGGGCTGGTTTATTGTGTAAAGTTGCTAAATTTACGTGCATGCATGGCTTAATGAAGCTCTTAAAGCTCAAAAGGACTTAATAGATGACTTAATGCATGCATGAGACCATAAACACCATAAAGTTTGCACCTTTAAGCTTATGAAACTCATAATATACCCAAATCTAAAAGGATAAGCTCCACAAATGACTTAACTCATCAAACTAACCCAAAAGGAACCAAAAACATAAAAACCATGACTGATGTAACATCCCCCTTTGGTACGTATCATAATATTGTCCGCTTTGGGCTCTCGGCACGAAAACTTCCCAAGGGGTCACCCATCCCTGGATTGCTCTCGCTCGGGCACGCTTAACTGCAGAGTTCTTATGGGATATGTTGCCCCCACAGCTTTAAAATGCATTGTGACTAGGAAGGTATCCCACTACTTATAAGGAAATATTTCGTTCTCCTTCCAAGCCGATGTGGGATCAGGTGCAACCCACCTTCACCCCCATTATAACAACTATCACTCTTGGGTCAACAAAAGTCAACCAAATTAACCAAGTCAATTCGACTAGTATTAGGATTTTAGGATAAACGTTATGTTCCTAATGTTCCTAATATACAACTTACAAATATTAATACAAAGTACTTCGCTTTTCATCAATTATTGAATAACAATCCTACTTAGGATTAACAATGCGAAAATTCGATAATCCAAGTACGTATTATTTTGGTATAAATAATGTTCATAAAACCATGTGCAAATATTTTTTATGATAATATGGTTTGTGATAATTTGAAATTTTTATGATACAAAATTTAGTAATTCGGCAATATTTTACCACACTTTTTATAAAGTGTGATATCCCCATTTTCACAGTTAGAAAAGACCGACTTTGTTTATGTTTTATAAAATCAGAGTATCTCTTTCAATAAAAACATTGTGGAATTTGTTCCCAGAAAAACTTGATAATTTCATTATCAAAGCATTTCCGAAGAAATGTATTTTTATTCCTTTTAAAACATTTGGGATGTCATCGTCAATACAAAAACATAAGCATAAACAGAACTTACATTCATTTACACTAGTGATCTATATCTCCTTAATCTCTTAGTGTAATGTAACTTCACATCATCACCTGTTATACAAGTATACTGAGTGGGTCAGGTTGGGAAACCTGGTGAGTACATAGGGTTTTCAACCTACACTAATATAATTATTATGTTTAATCATCAAACAATTAACCCAATTACTCATCCCCGCTATCTTCTTTATTCCTAAGTACCTTCCCTGTGGATTTATCCTAAGGGTCGTCTCCTACATCATATTTATCTCTCATCTCCTTACATTGCATTTCCTTATATGTTTGTTCCTAAGGACTCTCCCTAAGGATCATCGCCTACATCGCATAGATAGTATTGATTCAGGGATTACTCCCTCAATACGTGCCCAACAAGGGTTACGGTATCATCGCATGAATACGTAGTTACATCATCACCTGAACTCGTAATTTATAGTAAGGGGCCAGAGTATCACTGCATGAATACGTAGTTACAACATCGCCTGAACTCATAATTCATCACCTATAGGTTACGAGTCTGCTGGTGTTTCCAAGAGGTTGTCTATAATAGTCCGTGGTCACCATCTATACTCTGGTAGATGACTACATCTCCAAATAGCCGGACAAGGTTATAGTATCTTTCATCCTACATCACCGATTCATCATCACCTATCTATCCTCACCTAATTATCATCACCTATCTCTCATCATTTTATTTCATCACACATCAACGATTTCATCTACCCCTGGTTTATCCCAACATATTTGTAGATATAAAATAAATATATAGTTTAAATCATTTAAAACATGTATAAAATCATTCATCTAGCATAGACAACAAGTATCCAGATAAAATGCACACATGACACATAATTTATATAAAATATTTCATATCTATGTTTAAGATGAAAGTAACTATGCACTCACTTGTTTAAGTGATGATTCCAAACTCGGACAGTGCTTTGCTTCTTAACAATATAATTTCCTTCGACGAAACATTGGGGTTTTATTAAAAAACCGGGCTTCGCTGGAGCAGCATTTCCGAGCCGAAAGCTTTTCTTCTCGGAGCCGTCGGGCGCTCCGGGGCTTCCTTCTCGTGCTAGGGAGGCTCCCTAGACTTGGGAGGGGGTTTAGGGAGGCTATAGAGAAGTTAGAGATAGAAAGAGAGGTTATGGTGTGAAGAAAATACGAAGGATTCATCATTTATTTGTAGGGATTTTATCGTAGAGTAGTCTCTAAGCTTCGTCCGTATCTTCTGCATACGAACTCCGTTTTCTACGTTATTTATATCCACGCGTTGGTATTTACGACTACTACAAGTTTCATTTAGACCCCGTCGGCTAATTCTCATTGTATCTCATATTTACAAAATTGTATTCAAATTCGCCGCGCTCGAAAAATAGAGACTAAGCTTCGTCCATATCTTTCGCATACGAGCTTCGTTTTCGACGTTATGTATATCCGCGTGTTGGTATTTATGAGTAATACAACTTTCATTTAAACACTGTCGGCTAATTCTCATTCTATCTCGGAATTACAAAACTATATCGAATTTACCGCGCTCGAAGAGTAGAGACTAAGCTTCGTCCATATCTTTCGCATACGAGCTCCGTTTTCATCTGTCTTTTTATCGTTTAAC